AAAAAATTAGAAAGTTACAATCACACTAAGGGTCTAGATAAATTTGAAATAAGATTTTGGAATTAATTATAAAGAATCCTCCCTTTGGGAAAATGTTTTTGTTTTGAATGTTTTTTTAAAAAACTTAATAAGATAAGATTTTAAAAGTTGGACACTAGAGGGAACTTGGAACTAAAGATTACAATTAAAGGAGAAGAACACTTAAACTTGACTTACAATTACAGAATGAAGCAAAATGTTCTAACATTAGACATATTGAAGGATATTTTTGAACAATGGACCCAGATTTCTCTATGAATAGACTATATCTAAAAGATATTATTGAAGAGGAACAAGTTCTACCTGACAAGATCGAGACTGAGTTGGAAGTGGATTTAAAAATGACTGGCTACAAGAATGGCTTGGAAAAAGATGTTACACTGGATCTTCAAAAGAAACCAGCTGATGTCTTAATAATTAAAAGGGATATACAAACAACAACCAAGAGAGTGACCTGGATAATTTCCCTATATTTATAAGATTTATAAAAAAAGCTTGTTAAAATTTTGAAGAATCTTGTGAGAAGGGACAAAGAAAAAATGGAAAGAAATCAAGTTCTAGGACATTATTTGAATAGACTAAACATTAAGATTGTTAGAAGCAAAAGGAAGGAATATAAGGTTGGTTTATTTGATCAAGGTTAAAATAGATATGTTGTTATCTCTGGTAACCCTTAATGGACTTTTGCCGATATCTAGGACATTATTTGAATAGACTAAACATTAAGATTGTTAGAAGCAAAAGGAAGGAATATAAGGTTGGTTTATTTGATCAAGGTTAAAATAGATATGTTGTTATCTCTGGTAACCCTTAATGGACTTTTGCCGATATCAAGACTGAAATGACGAGGCTTTGTTTATAGATGAGATACAGGAGATGAGATACAGGAGATGAGATACAGGAAGAAGAGATCATTTATTGTATTTTAAGAGAAGGTGATACGTTACTAAAACTGTTTATACTTGTTGTGATGAAGGTGGGAAGTCACTTCATTATATATTTTTTTCTTTTCTTTACTATATTCTTATTTTTCTTTCTTTTCTCTTTCTCTTTCTTCCTTTTTTCTTTCTTTTCTGCACTTTCTATGCTTTATTCTTCTATCTTTTTTCCAGTTTGTATTAGCTTTTACAGTTATAATTTTTAATAAAATTACTATTAAAAAAGGAACAACCATGAGAACCAAGCAGGAGTCCGTGGGTACTTGCACAACTACTCCCTTTCTCCACAGAGAGAAAAAAGTCCACCTCCCAACCTCAATGGTCCATCTGTTTCTGGTAAACACCATACAGTACAGTGCTTTTGGGACTTACTTCAGTTTTTGGCACTTGATTAAGGAAATGTGTACAAATATAATCCTTAAAACAAGAATACCCAACTTTACTGGTACCAGTGGTTAGAACTGTGTTGAAAAAATGTTGAATGCTACCTGGAAAAGGGAATAGGTGGATCTAAGACCACAACTTTTCTAAAACATCATAAAAGGGAAACTAAAGAATGCTACTTTTGTAAACCCTAAGCAGGGAGTGCTTACTGATCTGAATGAATTCATTTATTTACACTTTATTCAGAACATTTCAATAGTGTGAAAAATGGCATCAGCTAATTTGCATATTTCCTAGTGTGCTCATCAATTGAGTTCTATTTCTGAGCTTTGGTACCAATTTTTTCCCTCTTATTAGCTTTTGTATATATAACTAGCAGGCTGTAGTAGCTCAAAAACTGTTCATTTGAGGGGAACATATTGCCAATATGGCTTCTGATTTAAATTCTACACTATACTTGTAGTGACTAAATAACTCCATTGTTGCAGAAGGAATTCAACTGTTCAAGTTTTTCTTTTATTGCCAATTTTTTTATTACCATTTTTCCCTTTAAATTTCTTTCTGCCTTATTGTTTTTCTATCTGGAAATGCAGTGATGTAATTTTGCAGTGAAAATTTTACACATTTGTGTTAAAACTGGAGGATCTTTTCCCTTCTTGCTTTTTAATAATGAAGTAGACTTATCTGCAACTCATCGAGCTCTGGAGATGTCCAGGATTTGTTGATTTAAATTCCATTTACTCTTTTCACATGAAATTTTCTACATACCAGCAAAATGTTTACCTTGCTTTTCTTACATTAGATATAAATATATCTTATATTTGGAAAAAGACAATTTTTCTTTGGCCCTTAAAGTATCATCATTGTTTCCTTAAATTCCACTTAAAATAAATGTTATGTAGCAAAAACAGCTGGTAATGCCATACAAACTATGTGCGATTTATTCATTAAGAAGCTTCACTGGAAAGATTCAAGGCAAAATGCTGAACTTTAGCCACTTACATGAACAAATACTAATAGTGAATAGACATATCATCACATTTCTCATTGCTTTGACAAGCACTAAAAATAGATCATGCATATGAAAACAACCCTAAAAGAAAACATTGGAGCTGTCAAAGTAATGTCCTAATATTCCACATGTCTTTATAATGTGAGTTAACATTCTTCCTGCTTTGCTCTATCAACCTCTGGCTTTGAATAATTCTATAATTTCAACAAGAGCCAAACTGTTTCAGATTTCCAGCTAAAACAATTTTATTTATTCTTGAGTGATTGAGATATAACATTTGATTGCTACCTTTCAAATCAGGGTTTCTCAGAGCTATTGTCAGATGATATTAGGGGGTTTTAAAGAATGAGTAATGACATATAGGAAGAGGAAGGGGATGAAGAGAGAGTGGATTACCTGAAAGTATGAAGGATTCCCTCCATCGTGGTAATGACAGTGAACGGATTCCATTGGAAAAACTACCCTTGTACCCAGACTGACCAGCAACTTTTTGAACCAAGACTTTCCCTCCAGAGTTGTCAATAATACCACTGTAAAAGTAACATATTCATGTCAGAAATACATTGCTAACCTACCCAGAGCATTAAGTGCTCACCGAATACATAAATGTTCAGTTCGTTTGGAACAGCTGTCTCCAGCCCTTTCCTTTATGTGGAACTTTAGGTCTTCATCTAAACCAGGGAGTGGTATCGCGGTGCTCTAGATGCCATGGCATATATGATTTTCCAGACAGCGTCCAGACGATTTCAACATTAATTTTTTAAAAAATAAATGTTAAAGTGGCCAACATCTTGGAAAAAAAATCAGTGCTCCCACCTGAAATCTCAGAAGATTTTGAATATAAATGCCAAAACCTCAGAAGATTTCAAGTACTCTAAATTCTCACAACACTTAGTGACCTTGTGAGATTTTAGCCACTTCTAAAAAGCGATGTTCAGTCAATGGATAATTTGCAATATGCTTGCAGACCACCAGTGATCTGTGGACCACAGAGTGGGCACCATTCTCCTGGAAGATGACTGGGCACAGAATACCATCAAAATTTATTTTCCTCCCATCCCAGGCTTTGACTTCATTTTTAAACTGTGTTTATCCCTCTTTCAAGTGCACTGAATTGTATATGAACTCCTCTGTGCACTCCTGAAGCCATTGACAAGGCAGTTGATAATTCCAAGGCTAAGTATAATTCTATTGCCAGAATATACCAAAATGAAACTCTCTGTTCTAAGTATTAGTAGATGTTTAGATAAGCTAATCCTAATGTGTAAGAAGATGATTCTGTAGTTTCCTAAAAGATATCAACTATTACCCTGGCATTTCCAAAAAGTTATGGTTGATCATATCCCAGAGGTGCAGTCTATCACCATTACCCAGAATAAGTTTTTGGAAATATCATTGATCTATTATCTGCATAATTTTCTCAGATCTACAGTTGCTTATTTTCCTCATAGGTCCATGCCCCTCAAAATATTTTGCAAAAGTTGCCCTTTTGCCCATTAAATGGAATTAAAGAAGACCTACTTTTCTGATCCATCCTCTAAATATACATTAAGATACACAAAACTGAACTCTACCCATGATCATTTTATTTACAGATTTGACATATAGACTACATTTTATTTCTTAATCTTATTTCTCATATCTTTTGAGGGTTGTACAAATTTTTGGTGAGGAAAAAAGGAACACATCCTGTTCTGACTCTTGCATTTATTGCTAGTATTGAAAATGTTGATACCTTTCCTTTAGTTCTGGACATTATTTTGAATTCAAGATCAATTCTGCTGACCTGTGAATAGCAGCAGCACAAACACTGGAAAAAGAGGCGTAGATATCACTGCCATAGACCCGATATTTAACATCCTGACATCCCAAAGGACACTTAGCAATAAACTCTGGGTTGATGATCTTTGCAGCTTTGATGGCACACTCAATATGTGGAACAGCTGTGAAGATACAAGTTGAATGTTATATTTAGTACACCCTGACACAAAAGCCATACAGAAAACAAAGGAATGTTAGGAGGTAGCTCTGTTATTCATGTGCCATATTTATGCCAATATTTTAGTACTCAAACATTCGTCATTGAACCCTTTATCTTTAAAAATGAAAATTAATAAAACTCCCAACTGCAGGGGATCTCCTATCATTTGTTTATGTTGCATCCCAGTGCCAAATTGCCTAACACTGAGTGGAATGCTGATGTTTCTTAATTATAAGAATGGAATATTAAAACATAATTTTGTATAGACGAGACAGTAAGCTAATATTCACATCCATATTATTGGTTTCATATCAAAATAATATTTGAGTAGTGCATTTAATTCCATATGTAGTTGGTGTAATCCATCAGTTTGGTGTAAATTCTTAAGATCTGCTATGCTAGCTTTTTCCAAGTTAGAGTCTTTCAGATACATTGGGATTTCAACTCCCAAAATTCCATGCCATCTGCTTGGGTTCAAAGAGTTCACATCCCAGCATGTCTGGAGGATTCTAGGTTATTACAGAAATATGATCAAAATCTCCACATAAACAATAGCATAAAGAGACATATAATCTGATTTGAATTTGCATTAGAGATCACTATGCAGTTTCTTATTCTGCAGTTACTACACTGAAGAGTAGAAATAAAATCAATGCTATAAATATCAATCTTCAAAAAAAAAATTATAAGCATATTAATTTGGTTTAGTGCCCTCTTGGCTATTCAGTTAGCTGAAGAAAAACATGGATTGGATCTATGTGGAATACATACATATATCAGTGTATCAATTCCCTCTCTCATGGAATACACAAACATAGTCCTCTTCATCCTCCTAACACTGTTTTCCCTCCAAATGGAAGTGTGGGTTTTTTATCTTAGTCCCCTGAAAAACATTTCACTGTCATTTGAGAGAGGGAATGGCAAGTTTTCAAGTGAGAACCCCAATGGACAAAAGATGCCTGAGATGATATTGGTGAAGTTTTGTAAGATTTAGCAAACTTGTGAGAGTTCAGGAATTGATGATGATTTTAAGTCTATACCACTGCACAAGACAGCACCTGAAAATGTTGAGCCCTGGTTAATTCAGATTGCTAGCTGTCCAGGATTCCTGACAATGGTTTTTCCAGCCTAGCCAGGGATGTTGAGATTGAACGTGAGATCTTTTACATGCAAAGCATATGTTCTACCACTGCGTTATGGCTGCTTCACTTTCATGCCAGATGAAAAGTTCGGTCTCCATCATTCCAAATAGGAATGTTGAGTAATTGCCTGTAGACTAGCTAGAAACATTTGACATATAAATTAGGGCCTATGTAATTTATAGTCTTTCTAATGTTGATATTTAAATGGATGGGAAAAGTTTAGATGATTTTACCCTTTCCTCTTTCAGATGTTATGACAGCTTAGGAAGTGCCAGGAATAACATTCTCTTTCCTGCATTTGGCATTATTTCCAGCATTGCTTTGTAATTAAACCATCAGTTCCATGCATATACTGTATTTATCAACTCCACTGCACAAGATCAGGCCACTTTCATTCAGATATATTACATCCTTCTCCTTTCTCTTAGTATCTATTTTTCTTTATTTCATTTCATTCATTAATTCATGACCTTTGCCATGTACTCCTCTCACATTCAAACTAAAATCTTCTATATGCCATAACAGTTAATAGATGGACCCTTGAATATTGACCATATCAGTAATGGCTTTATTCCATCAAAGCTTACCTTTTAGTAAGATAATGAAATAGTAAACTGGGTTATGAGCCTTAGTGGTACCCAAGCATTCCTGGCAACTGGTAAGGGACATAGTTTTGGCACATTTTGTCAGTATGCCACAAGTTCAGTCTAAGCTCAGGTTTACCCCACGCATGCTGTTTTATGGAAGCTAGGATGTCTGATCTAGAGACTAACTTGCAAGCCAATATACTGTTGCCCATACCCCATCACCTAGAAGATTAATAACATCATCATCATCATCATCATCATCATCATCAGGAGAAGAAGAAGAAGAAGAAGAAGAAGAAGAAGAAGAAGAAGAAGAAGAAGAAGAAGAAGAAGAAGAAGAAGAAGAAGAAGAAGTATATGCTGCCCAGCTCCTTGTGACTCTGGGAAGTATGTGTTGCAATGACACACTCAGGAAATGTCAGATATTGTAATGGGCATGTAGGGCCACTTGGCACTTTGTTAAATCAAACACATATTTTCCTGGGGTAGTTTTTTGAGCCCAAGAAAAGACACAGCTTCTTTAAGGAGCTGCTGACAGATGTGCTGTGTTGTTTGCTGAGAACCCAAATTATATGCAGGAAAGGTTAGACAGACTAAATCAACAAGGACAAAGATCTGAAAAGCAGTGTATTCAAGACCAAAGTAGTTGGGCTTGACAGGAAAAATGGAATGAATGATTGCAAGTTATGTGTGAATGGCCAAAAAAAACCAGTTGAGGTAGTAGGTGAATTTGTGCATCTTGGTAGTATGTTTACTAAGGATGGAAAACAGCACTATTTGAAGGCATATAAATGCTGATAGAAGGTAGTGGGTACCTTGTAGTCGACAGTATTGTGAGGGTTAATGTTTGTTGAAGGAAGAGAAAATGGCTGAGGGTCAGAATGTGCTTCTGCCCACTTTTTATATGAAAGTGAGAGTTTGGTATGTAAATAGAAGTCAACTGAATGCTGTAGATAAGGGTTAAATGAGTACTGTGTGTAGTAAAGCAAGAATAGATACGGTTAAGAATGAAAAAGTTAAGAATAAATGTGGATTGAATACAAAAGTAATGTTCAAGTGACTTAATCACATAGAGACAATGAATGAGGATCAAACTGAAAAAATATTTGAAGGAAGAGTAAAAGTGATGAAAAGAAGGGGCAAAGACCAAAACATAGTGGTTGGATAGAGTTGATCATGTCTTTAAAAAACAAAAGGCATTGTATGATTGGATACAGCGTAAGCAAGGATAGTTTGCAAGGATAGAAGGTATAGACTGATAAAGTGCATGGTGCTGTTGTTAATTAAATTTGATTAGATTTCTTCCCCCATCCCTTGCCCTGCCCCACCTTGTCTTCTGCCTTTATTTTGCTCACAGTTTTTTACATATGTTGTACTTGACATACTATTGTTTACCCTGAAAGGGAACAGCAAGATGCATATGTTTTGTATATGAGCAGGATCTGGCACAAAAAAGGAGCTTCAAAGTAAATGATGCGTTAAAAACAATTGCAGCGTGCAGCAGTCGGGATAGGGGTAGGAAACATTTTAAGTGGGAAAAGCTTAGCTGCGAATTGTGATTATTTTTGATGGAAGATGTTGGAGGCTACATCATTTTTGAAGAATAAAATGTGTATTCTTGGGGCCAATTTTCCAATATCTTTCTCAAAAGACCCGAGGGAAAGTCTAAATTGCGATTGCAGATTTCAGCCATTTACATCACAGCTTTGTAAACTTACATTGTTTAGACTTCCTGTTCTTCTTTGTAGCTTCTTTAGTAGCGTGTATACAAGTCAGCAGCAAAACTAAGACACAACAAAGATGCGTGAAAAAATGTACAACAATACTATCTCCCGTGAAATCAAAAATACTTGGGCTGAATTGTTTTCTGGGATCATTTATAGCTTTCTTTCAATTCTCTAAAGGAAATAATAAGATTTTCTGTTAATGTTGTTATTGTCTCAGTTTTCTTATGTTTGATTTCCACATTTTCTAGTTTTATTACTTTAATTATAAACTTTCAGAGACTCTTTGATTTATCTGCCTTTGTTGAGGGCATTGTTTTAGTTTTACCTGAAACTGGGGTAACATATAAAGCAGAGAGGATAAAGTAGGATGCATTCAGGTACTTACCAAAGGCCACTGCAATTGCTGTTATTTTCCTCATGGTGAGAGAAATTGGGTCTTGGAATTTTAATAGGGTTCACTGTAAAGTAGAAATCCAATACTTTTACAATTTTATTTATTTATTTATTTATTTGTTTATTTATTTATTGTTTCAATTTCGAGGCTGCCCAATTCCATAGCAACTCTGAGGATTAAAAACAAAGCAAAGAAAAATACATCAAGAAGAAAAAGAAGATGGCTGACTGGAAACCAATACCTAGAAAGCCAAGCAGCCAATAACCAATCAAGGGCCTTGATGCCCATCCTAGCTCAGAGCCTAGGAGGTCTTAAGCAGTTTGCAGGAAGTCAGAATGATGGAAGCACTTCAAATCTCCAGGGGGATATCATTCCACAGGCAGGAACCATCACCAAGAAAGCACACTTCCTATGTCCTGTAAGATGATACTACTTAATGGATGGGACCTGGAACTACTAATGTTGTCCCCATACTGAACCCTGGCCTGAACCCCGATTGAAACAGGTCTAGATAATCCGCTTCCTCGAGGGTCCTCTGGAGCTATAGCCCAATTTTTATCCCACCTTTCCTCTACGACCAAAGCCAATGTATATTATGTTCTTAAGCCAGTGTACACAACGTTCTGTCCTCCAGTTTTCTCCAACAGCAACCCTATGAAGCAGATTGATCTGAGAGAGAGTGATGGGCTCTCTCAGGTCCTTGTCCGTGATCTTCATAATTATACTTAAAAAGCTATTTGTCTCCTAATGCCTATAACTGCCTGACCCAACTAATGCCATTCAAATAAATTGGACCTCGGTTCCCATCATTTTCAGCCAGGCTTGTTCATAGGCATTTGCTCATCACAATGCAGTGAGATTTTGGAAGAATACATCCTATCTTTTCTTCCTAAAGCTTATGACCATGTCACCCCATTAGCCCCAATAATCCTATGCTAGTTTCAAGGTTAAGCAGGTATTCAAATTCAAGTTTTGCTAGTCTATGTATTACAAGCAAACCCTTTGGATCAGAGTACTTTCCAATGGAACCTGCTCATCCAGTGCTCTGCAGGATACAGATGCAAGAGAAAGACAAGAGAACAAGCATGTATTCAGTGGCCAAGGTCAGACAATGATGTGGAAGCTTTTCTCTGAACAGAACAGGATAAATAAAGTTCATGTTTTCCAAAAAGGAGGTTAAGAGACCAGGAAAGGAAAGGAAAGGAAAGGAAAGGAAAGGAAAGGAAAGGAAAGGAAAGGAAAGGAAAGGAAAGGAAAGGAAAGGAAAGGAAAGGAAAGGAAAGGAAAGGACAGCTAGGGGAAAAGCTGATAAAAAGAGAGGCAAGGAAAAAAATACAGAGGTAGAAGAGAAAAGGGGAAGGGAAATTTATTAAAAACAGAGGCAAGGAAAGAAAATCAGATCTGAGTGTAGAATAAAGACAGCTGAGTATCTTATAGGGCTGGGAAATCAAAAAAAGGCCTGGAACGTTAATTCATCAGCTGACTAGTCTCTACCTAGAATTGAAAATAGATTTCAATTCTACTTGAATAATTTACATATGTTGGTCCAGATTTTATCTTCAGATTATGACATAATCTGAACATAATATGGCATAAACCATAAGGATATAAATAATGTTAATTAGCAGCCATCTTTTTGCACTGTGCATGACTGTCTGCCAGTTCTTTGAGGTAACAATGTAACTGCCATATATGTTTGGAACCGCTCATGAATGCTTTTTCAAAAGAGTATGTGCAGAGAATTGAAGAGCTGTGGAAGAAAGAATGCCAATTAGGACTGTATTTTTTATTTTGTGTTCTCTTGTATGATAGAGTCCAATAAAATGTTATGTTCTCACATGCTCTTCATGTTTCACCATCCCAAGCAAAATAGTACTTCTAGAATTTCAATGATAATAGCACCTCTGTGCAGATTATTTTAATCACTTAATTCTAGAATGGCCCTCCCCAAACAGGTGACCTGGAGGTATATTAGACTTAAAATTCCCAAGTTCCCAAGCAGCTTGGCCAATGAGAGTTCTGGGAGTTGTAGTTCTAGTCCTAAAGTATCTAGAGGACACCAGTGAAGGCAGGTGTTGACTGTGTAAGACCATAGATATTCAAAGAATAGGTGACCCATAAGTCTTCTCAAGTGAAACTCCCTTAAAACCTAGAACAATTGTCATTTTAAATAGCAGCCATTTACCTTCCACTATGGCACACACGTACACACTCATTCCTTCCTTCCTAAAATAAGATTAGGAAATGTCTTTTGAAGAACTTTTGAAGAAAACAACTATTTCAAGCCACACCAAAGCACCATTCATTTAAATTATGGTATTATTGGCAGACTGACTTTTGTTATGCTCTTTGATGAAGCTGTAGAATGAAAGAGCGTCTATCAATAAATTGCTTAATCATAGTCCTCATGAACATTTTAGAAGTGCTGGTTTTCAGTGTTTGATTTCCGCTTGTGAATTATATGTGCAAGCAGAAATTCTTCATATGCCATTATGGGATTAACCGGGCCAGTCTAAGTGGTTACTTACTGCTAATCTTCTGTAGGAGTCATCTTGCACACATTTCCTTTCTACTTCTATCTCTCAACAGGCTATTGGCATATGCAGTAAGAGCATAGCAAACACTGAGGAGATTATGATGTTTCAAAAATAAATTGAGGAGTGGTTAATGGGAAACACTATTATATATAGGATTTCACTGGTGAACCAGAGATAAACTGGTCTTTCTTTTGACCCAGTGATCTACCTATCAAACATAGTCAACTGACCTTACATTGTAGCCTGTCAGGGCTTGAAAATATTATTTAAAATTATGTATCATACATAGATGGTATATAGTAGTGGTCCTGGGAATTCCAAGATGTCAGGCCTGTCTTAAATCCTGTCATGAACTCATCTTTGCAAATATTGGCACTTTACATACATAGAATGAAGGAGTTTCCTCAAACCCTTGTGGACCATCACTGATGGTCACATTCAACATTCAGCCAGACCACAATGGTGCAGACAGCACTAAGTGGAAAATGTAGCATTTTAATTGTTCTACTTTATTCCTACTGTCCCGCTGAAATGTGTAACCTAGGAGTGCCTGCTCTTTGAAAAAAGTAACTCTCTCGTTTTTTCCCAGTTAATTCAATCTTAATTTAAATAACTACATTGCTGTTAGAGGCCTCACTAAAACATTTTTCCCCAGGCTATGAAGATTGAATGGAGATCTTTCTTTTGTTCTTTTGCTCTTCTCTCTGTCTGTCTTTCTGTCTTAATTTGATAAAATAGAACAAAGAAATGCATTGCTTTGATTTACACTTTGCCATTTTACTTTGGCAAGACCTCAAGGGTGGTTAACAAAGTTTAGAAACAAAGCAGAATATAAAATAGCTTAAAATTAACGATAAAATAAGTAGCAAATGACTGGAGAAAGAGATGTATGTTTAAAGATTTTCTAAGCACTGAAAGAATGAGGGGGCAACCCAATTTCACCCAGCTTCAGGGATACATTATTCAGAAGGATTCTTTTCTGCCCATCCTGTGTGGGCTTCTAGGGTGGGTCTGCTCAGTATCCCACCCCCATGGGAAGTAGGACCGGGACCAAAGATAAACCTTTTCCCTGGTGGCCCCCACCTTATGGAAGACCTTGCCCCCAGTGATGTACTTCTTGCATTTCTAAAGGCAATAAAAAGCATACTTTTTAAAAAGGCATTTATTTCCAAGCATTTTTCACTGGATGTCTTCTAGCAATATTCTATGAGTTATGCGTGTTGTTTTGTTTTATGGTGAGGGATTGATGGTGCATTGATGGTGTTGTACACCACCCTGAATCTTATCAGAGGGCAATATAAAAATGGAATGAATACATTTCAAGGGAGTGTGTTCCACAGCTTGGGAGCAATGCAGCAGAAGATTCTCTCCCACAAGCCAGAAAACAGACCTCTGATTGAGGGGCCATCTTCAGAAGGGTCTCTCTGCAGCCTTAGACAGTCAGATGGTTTTGTAATAAGAAAGGCAATCCATGTGATAACCCTAACCCTTAAGAACATTAGGCTTAAATATCAATGCATAATAATATAGGCAATATATTATTCTCGTACATTGCGCTGGCTAGCAGCTTAGCCACCATATTTTTGCATCAGTTGCAACACCCAGACACTTTTCAAGGGTAGGCTTGGATAAATGTTACCAAATCTGGCTGGCCCAGGAAGGGGTGCCAATGTGATGAACTAGATGTAATTGTGCAAAGGGAATCCTGATTCCTGATGCCATCTGTGGGTTCAGTGACAGCTCAGGTTCAAGAAGTATTCCCAGACTGCAAGCCTGTTATTTCAGAAAGAGCACAACCTTGTACATCACTGAGTCTAGTTTCCTATCTATCAGTCGCACTTCTGTCATGCTTGGACAGCTTGTTCTTCCTCATCTAGTTCATTATAAAATATTGGTAAGGCTCAAGGGTACCTCGAAACTGGCTGGTAAGGAACACTAGATCTGGATATTACTTGATAACATCCTCCATTCCAAAGTTCCAGATGATCTTGCCCAGCAGTCCCATGTAGATACTGAACAGTAAAGAGAACAGGATGTAATCCTGTTGTTAGGGCATAATAGGTCAATGGCTTTGGTGCCAAACAGCATGGATTCAATTTAGGGCTATCAGATCTGGGCTACAAAATCCAAGTGATCACTAGATGACAGCAACGATTTCCCCCAAACTCTCTTTGTTTCCATTTGACGTTTGCAACCCAGGTCTAGTAACCCTCTTCAAAATGGGCAGGGTATCAGATGAAGAATTGAGGAAAATGAATTTATATAGCGTATGGCCAATCTGTATTCCTGCCCTCCAGGGGTAGCCTGTGGCATCATAGAATAGCCTAGTGGACAAAGCTAGGAGAGATGAATTTCCCTACCTTCTGTCAGCCAGGTCTCTGTGATACAGGTCAGGTCAGCATTTTTATTCAGGATTAAATCTTGGATAATAGGTGTTTCACCAGCAATTGATCTGTCACTAAAGAGAAGGACTTCCAGGTTGGAGGTGGCAGAATTGTTGTCACCTTGGCTTCCTTCATTGGTCATT